TATTTTGGTAAGCTTTGAAACCTCTTGATTTATTATTCTTTTTCATGCCTAAATATTTTTGAGGATTGGTTCCTACTAGTTTTCCCCTATATCTCCTTGATTTTTCTGAGTCATAGGCATCTGTAAGGAAATATCGACATTATAGCTTACAATAACGTATTTAAACGTGCAGAAAATAAAAAAATACGAAAAGCATAGCCAAGTAAATCTCTAAATATATAATTTACACTAGACCGACACTCAACACTCACGAAATCCGGCGATTTATCGAATGATTTTGACGACGCTTTAACTTATTAATGACTGGATTCCACGAAGGTTGCTCCTTTTTCGTCTGGATTGCCCGTTTTTCATCCTGTATACGTTGTATCTAAGGACCTTTTAGTAGAGTTGTACGTGAAGCGGTTGACATAAAAAAACGTCAGATAGTTATAAGCTTTATCTTGGAATCCAGTCGCTTACCTAATAAGTGTTAGCGTCGTAAAAACCTTTGGTGAATCGCCGAATGTCGTGATTGTTGTGAATCGGTATACTGAAAACATTAGTATACAAATTGATAATGAAGACCAAAGGAGGGTAGTCGAAAAACTAGCACTAGCTATAAGATGTTGACACCCACTTTTTCAGTCCTTTTCAGAGCATAGACGTTGCGATACGTCCGAAACGTCGAGGTAAATAATAAGTCGAGGTAAAAAATTGGCGTTTTGTACGGGAGGATTATAAAGTCAGTTTTTTTTGTTGTAAAAAGTACTTAATCAATCAAAGTATGCACCGTTGTCATCTATGTACTTTTGCCATCTCATGAGTAGTTCATTGATCCATTTACTTAAAAAACCATGGCGACGAGTATCAATAAACTCTTTGAAGGCGGTTTAGACTGCCGCATCAGAGTTGAATTTTTTTTTCCTTGTAAGAAGTTGTTCAAATTCCAGAACAAATGTTAATCTGCTGGAGCAAGGTCCGGAGAGTACAGTGGATGTCGCAGATACTCCAATTGTCGCTCATCTAACTTAGTGGTTGTTTGTTGTGTGGTCTTGCGTTGTCGTGAAGCAGCATTGGCCTAGAGCGATTGACTAATCTCGGTTGTTTAGCAGCTAGTTCTTCCTTCATGGTTTGCAGTTGCTGACAATAGATATCTGCCGTAATCGTTTGGCCAGATTTTAGAAAGCTGTAGTGAATGCCACCGGCGCTAGTCCACCAGACACTCACAAGTAATTTTTCTGAGTTATTTTTCATTTATGGCAGGATTTGGCTAGGTTTTCAGGGTTCAGCCATTGCGACGAGCATGATTCGATTTAAAATGCCTTCATTTTTGTGTCGGTTGAGCAAAGTAACATAGGAGCCAATGCGTGTTTGCAAGTCCGATTCACTTAATTAATAAGGTACGCATCGTTCAAGTTTTTTTTTACTTTCCCGATTTGCTTCAAGTGGTTTAATACAGTTTTATCACTTACCCAGGAGCTTCCTGCTATCTCTGAAGTGCTTTGTGATGGATCCGCTTCAACAATAGTCTTTAATTCTTTATTTTCCACTTTGGTCTCCGGTCGTCAACGGGGTAGCTTCTGAAGGTCGAAATTTCCAAAATGAAAACGTTGAACCAAAAAACGTACCGTGTTTTCTTTTGCGACAACAGTGACGTACACATCATTAATACTTCGAGCTGTTTCTGCAGCACTGATGCCACGACAGAACTCGTACTCTTAAAGATACCGATGTTTCATGTTTTCCATTGTGCGGTAATAAGCGACGCCAAAGAAAAAACATAATGAGGAAAAAACATAAATGACTCTTTTCAAAACTCAAATGCACCAGCTAAATGAATTTATTTTTTAAATTTTAATTTAGAATTCTTAACCAAAGAGGAAATATTTCAGATCAAATTCGTTAGTACAACAAAACACCATGTATGTATATGTAAGGACCCAATAAATGAAACGTATTTTTAATCCATTAATTCACGTTTTTGTGTTTGTGTGTGTGTGTGTGTGTGTGTGTGTGTGTGTGCGCGTGTGCGTGTGCGTGTGCGCGTGTGCGTGCGTGAGCGAGTGCGTGTGCGTGTGCATGTGCGTGTGCGTGTGCGTGTGCGTGTGCGTGTGCGTGTGCGTGTGCGTGTGTGTGTGCGTGTGCGTGTGCGTGTGCGTGCGCGGGCGCGGGCGCGTGTGCGTGTGCGTGTGCGTTTGAGTGTGCGTGTGCGTGTGCGTGTGCATGTGCGTGTGCGTGTGCGTGTGTGTGTGTGCGTGCGTGTGTGTGTGTGTGTGTGTGTGTGTGTGTGTATGTGTGTGTGTGTGTGTGTGTGTGTGTGTGTGTGTGTGTGTGTGTGTGTGTGTGTGTGTGTGTGTGTGTGTGTGTGTGTGTGTGTGTGTTGTGTGTATGTGTGTGTGTGTACTTATATATACGAGGAAACGTAAGGTCAACCAAATGGAACCCTAGGCCAAAATTAAATCATGTTACATTACCAAATAGTAAGAGATTTCATAGTATTTGATCGTCAACGTTACTTTTTAATGGTTCCAATACATTCTAGCAAAATTACTGTGAGCATGCACCTTTATTCAGTAGCGTAAAAAAAGAGCCGTAAATTCTACGCCACTGGTAACGCAAAGTGGCATAATGTCATTTTTGCGCAACCATGGCGCAAAGAAAATCCGTAATAACTCGATAAATAAGCTCTTTTTTAAGTTAATTTTACTTTGAAAGATTATATACATCTTATCTAATAGTACGCAAAAACAATAACAGCAATTATTTTAAAACTTACCGTGAAATCTCAAAAAATGCACTCCGCAAAAAAATGTGACCATAAAGAAAGTTACTTTGGTGTTGCCACTACTCAGAATACAAATACTACCAACGTTTAACGCCACAAAATTGGCCAATTATAGTTGCGCAATAAAAATAGCGCAAAGAAATAGCTTTGTTCGTTTTTTTATGTACGTAAATTAATGTACTTTCTTTTGAAACACCAAAAAATATTTAAAAGGGGGCCAGGTAACTATTATTTCATAACGTCAAATCAAACAGATTACGAAAAATATGTTTTTTTTTTAATTTTACTGATGCTTGAAGTGCACCCCTACCAAAGCGGATTAGCGATTTTTACGAAAATTTCGTAATTGTTTTAGAAAAATATCGTATAACTTCGAAGTTTGTGAATTTATTTAAAATATCTTACGTGGCCTCGATTTACCATTTTTTCTGAAATACAATGTCGTGGTCATTGAACTATTATGTACAACGTACTAGAGGCGACACTGCATTCAGCTACTATGTTTCATTCAACTGCGGTGCTTACGCCGCACTTTAATCAGTTACTAGCTAGGCGCTCGTAGAATTGTCACGTGTTGTGTTGATTTAAAAAAAAATTCTTGATAAAAATATGCCGTCGTGTGTACTTTAGATATTGCACAAATAATTCAAAAATGTATATAATTTATAAATTCGTTCATTTTTAACTTTCGCGTGCCCATAATTTATGAACGACTGTTATTCTAATTTAAATAAATATATTTGTAATTTAAATGTTATATTAATAAGTTTTGTTAATTTTTTATATTTGACATAATTTCCTTTCGAACTTTGATATTTCTATCTAAATATCTTAAAAAACCTTTTAAAATATTCAGATAGAAATATCATTAAAATGTAATTGTGATATAATATTAGAGGAAAGTAACCAAATATGGAATACCATTTTGTTTTTGTGTTATAAAAAAAAAAGATATTCTAAATCAAAACTTTTATTCTTATTTATTATCAGTCATACAGTTGCGCTTAACTTATTGACAGTTTTGTTTTACACATATTAATTTAAAATGTAAAATTTTCTCAAAAACTAAATCAACATAAAGCCACCTAATTATGGAATAGGTACCCAAATATGGACTACTGTAAAACTATGAATAATAAACCTTTACTTTTATGGGGTACTACAGGAACTTTGGTCAATTTTAAAAATGTACTTAAATTACTTGCAAAAATCACAGATCCATGTACCGAACTCTGCGCCTGCGCAATCACCATGTGCCCAGAGGCCGCACATGAGGTATTTGATCCATGTCTCTCCTCTAGTATCTTGAGAAAACAAGCTATTACAGAACATACACTCTGCATCTTCTGAGTCAGGAGCTTCCAGTCCTATGATGGCATCAGGCTCACTGTCTGTGTCAAAATGTATTTCTTCTTCATCGTCTGAATCAATGGGACTATTTTGAGACTTGGTTTTCTCTTTTTGCTGTTTTCCTTTAGTTTTCTTTTCTTTCTGTTTTTTTATTTTTTGGCTTTGGTAATTTATTCTCTTTTTCTTTCTTCTTTTTATTACTGTCAATGAGTTGATTTTTATTTGGAGAAGATGTTATTATTTCAGCAATAGTTGTTTTTCTTCCTCTATTAGAAATCTTTCTTTTTTTATCTGGCACTGGGCTGATGTCATAGGGTGACACCTATATACCGTCCGTACCGTAATAGGATATTTAGCAGTAGTAGAAGCTAAAACTTTTTGATGTGCGAGTAATACACTTGGATTAATTCGTGCTCGTCGAACAATAAGAGTTGCATCCGTAATGCAAACTTTAAACTTTACATCGTTTGACCCAGAGACGCGTCCGATCTCTCAGCAGGCTGTTCTCCAACAATACAGCAATGGGAAATGACAACCACTTGGCTATTTTTCGAAGAAGTTCTCCGATACTCAACGTAACTACAGTACATTCGACCGAGAGCTACTCGCTATTTACATGGATATTAAGCAGTTCAGAAAAGCACACAGATTTAGAGTACTGTGAGAAAGCCCGGAAGTTGAGGGTTCTGGATCGAATTCTGTGTCATGTCTTGGTGTGACAGAAGTTTCAGTTAAAATCAAACTATTATCAGGTGGTCTTGCATCGTTTGTAGATGATTCTTTCGACTGGGAGCTTGATTTTGTTGGAGTGGCTTTGATTGTGCAACCATCTTTTACTGCATCTTGTTGGGCAGCAAGGTAGTCGATCTCGCTGAATATGTTTTTATTCAATGGTCAAAGGCCTGTAACGCGAAAGACAATCGCTGCTGCTTGAAAGTGCAAACAGGGGAACTGTTTGCACTTTCAAGTAAGATCTGCCAAATAGTTCAACAATGTCATAAGGACTTAGTGGCCTGTTATAGTTTCTTATCCACATTCGTATTTCTTCGCTATAACAGGTTTTTAGTGGTCTCATAAAAATTTTATCCAAAGGTTGCAGTTTGGGGGTTGTGTGTGGAGGTATGGAAACAATTTTAACATTGTTCTCCCTTGCAATATCAATAAAGTCGATGTTTCGTGTGTGAGAATAATGTCCATCTAAGATCAACAAAACTTTCGATTCTGGGGTCGGGTTGGTGTGTTTGATGAAATGCTTAAACCAATCTGTAAATATTTGCATTTGGATCCATCCTGATGGATGTGCAACGCCTATCGCACCTGGAGGACTGCCTCTCATTAGCTGTTCGCACATATTTTTCCATTTAGGCACAAAATGGCCAGTAACGTTCATAGCAATAACCATTGTCATTAGTGACCCTCTTTCAGCTGAAGTAAGTGAAGCTATTTGTCGTTTTCCTTTGTGACCGATAACTTGGGGTATCTTGGTTTGAACCACTGTAAGCCCAGATTCGTCAACGTTATATATGCGGTTCGGAGTATAGTTACCCTTAGTGTAGACTTCTTCAAGAAGATCAAAAAGAAGCGTCTACTTTTTCTTTACTGAAACCAAAAGCTCTTGCAAGAGACGTGCCAGTGGGTCTTCTCATCGAAAGTTTTTGCTTATGACGGTTTAAAAATAGCTTTAGTCACTTTATTTCAGCCATTCAGGACTCACCAAACGGATTCTCCAAATGATTGCATTTGGCCAACATATACGCCATTCTACGAACATCATTCCTCGCCAAACCATGAAACTTGCTCTCCATCTTTAAAATATATTCTACTAGTAGATTTTCGAGCTGATCACCTAAAACAGATTTCCTTCCTAATTTAGTGGCTGCAGCTTCTTCTGGAGATAGCTAATTTTTCTGACACAATCGAAACAAAGTGGTTCTTGGTACATCAAAGTGTTTTGCTGCTTTAAAATAACCCATTTTTTTCTCTCTAACTATTCGTATAGCTTCTGTCATGTGATCTGTGTTCCATTCTTTTCGTTTTTCTTTTGAACTTGAAGACGTCATTCTAAAACCAAAATATTAAATTTGAAATCTAGCCAGATGATATTGTGGTATTCAAATTTGGAATAGTCCGTATTTAGACTCCACGGACTGTCCATATTCGGAAATTACAAAGTAATCAAAACGTATATCAGATTTTTTTAGTCATCAAGATCAGACAAGAAAAAACCTTTAAAACAATCAAACAAACATGTAATCAATGCATACTCATAATATACAATATTATTTCCAATCATGTTTTGAGAAATACTTAGTTTTTACGTACCTTAAAAACTTTTCTCACAGCGCCAAAATAAAACACTCTCAGTGCGCAGTGCGGCCACAACATTCGCCCGACTGACAAGTCGAAAACTGTACGCGAGTATAATGATGGAAAGAGACAGAAAATCGCTGTCTTTTGCAACTAGGAGTATTCGTATATTTGGTTACTTTCCTCTATGTAATATTACATTAAATAAGCAAATCTAATATACAAAATAAATGACAAAATTTAAAAGTTGTTTTCGATATAAACCTATTTAACAATACAATCTACAACATAGTGTAGCGCACATTTTTTGTTTGAAATAGCTGTTCTAGTACGTAAGTACACATTACTTCAATGGATGTGGTCGAGAAAAATATTATAATAATTATAGTTAAGAAAAAAGTAGCGAACAGTTAGGCTATACTTTATGTGACAAAAATTACGTCCTGACCACCTATACGTTTGTTAATAAATCTTTTACTGTCCAGTCTATTAAGCTCTGGAATGCCCTAACTTTATACGCGAAGCACAAACTACGGATTGTAGTCTTTAAGCGACTTTTTAGGGCCTACGCAGACCGGGACGGTATGGCAAGGGATTTTGCCGTGAGTCAGCGCACACTGGCCGCTTAGATACCGCATTCCAACACTTTGCCAAGGCATACCACGGCGTTAGGCCCTTAAAGAGCATTACTTGTCTCAATCGTTCGAAAATTATTAGGATAAATTATGTGATTATGTAGTTTTAGTATTTATTTGTTTATGATATTGTTTGAGGAATATATTTGAGGATATATATATATATATATATATATATATATATATATATATATATATATATGTTTATGTATATACGTATGTATATATGTATCATATTTTTATGTATTAGTTATTTAAATGTTATTTTACTGCATGTATTGATATTATATTAGGTATATTTATATTGCACCACCTACCTAGTATTCACTGTTTTATTCCTTTACACCTTTGGTTGCCTGGAACTCAGACGAAATAAAAACTCTTTTTATTTCGTCTGAGGCCTGGAAGAGATCGATATGTTGCGATAAGGCCGCCAAATTGTAAATATAATCTGTTCTCTGTTATGTTCTTTATAAATTTGTTAGTGGTGTACAATAAAGTAATAAAGTATATTCATTCATTCATGCGTTTGATTCTGCTCGATTGGAGAAATTGTTAATTTAAATATTTTTTTATTTTTGCACGTACTCTTTAGTGTGAAATTTAAGCTGTGAGAACTGCTAATTTTGTAGTAGCTCAGGGAATCATCTTGTAGTACTTATATCGCCTCGAATTATTAGTATGATACAAAAACTTGCCACACGTGTAAGAATTTACGAATATTTTAGTCATGGAATATTATACACATTATTTTAGGGTCTATGATCTTTTTTTATTTACTTGAATCCAAGATTTTAAGAAAGTACATTATTAACAGTCTGTCAAGACCTTATGTTTAAGACGAATTAAATCTCCATTAATTTACTTGCCAAGTTCCAAAAACGAGAAGGTTCTATACAACATCAATAGTAAATATTATGTAAGTTTAGTGAGTTAGTTATTATCTCGTACTGTGCATTAATTCCTTTCTACATGGTGGCACTACTAGGGAGGCGTGGAGCAGAAGTTATCTTGTTTTAGTATCTTGTTCACCAAAGAATCACCAAACGATTTCCCTACTGAGCCGCGTCTGGGGGCTATATTTCGCATCGTCTCGCACGCAGACTTGACGACTTACAGCCTCCTATCCGGTTGACTGATAGGGAACCTTTAGGTGTTAAGTCTGCCTTTATACATTTTGTGCATTTTGACAACGAAGAACAACGAAGTTTTAATAAATAAATAAACCAGAGTAACGAACGTAATCTAACGGCCAAGTAGGCTGAAATAACAATGGGTCAACCACTAGCTAGAAGATGTGAGAACCGTCGGTGAAGGAAATTTTTAGAGTGGCAGGCTCACACTGGTAAGTGAAGTGTAAGACCGGCTCCCCACTCGATGGAGTAACAACCTGGTAAAAGCTGCAGGATATCGATGAATATAAGTGGCTAAGGACCGTGGTTTATAGCATTCCTTGGGACAGACCGACGCTTAGCAGTGGAGTTGTGAAAGGCTGTAATGACGATGATGTTGATAAAATACTAGGAGAAAACGTGACAATGCTATCGTGCAAAAACAAAAATATACAGGGTGCCCGTTAATATATACACCTTAAAAGTCCATTTGGGATGATAATATTGTTTATTTTTTTCTGAATGGTCATAAGACCTGCAACAAAATATACATACATACATAAACACTCACGCCTGTCACCCAGAGGGGTAGGCAGAGACTACGGACTTCCATTTGGCACGATCCTGACATACCTCTTTCGCCTCCTTTACATCCATATATCTACGCATACATGCTCGTCGGTTAAGGGTACTTCTAACGTGGCCCATTTTCAAAATATCGCCAATTTGGTCGATAAACTTTTTCCTAGGGCGTCCCTTCCCGACTCGGCCATTCACATCTGCCATACAAATTTGCTTTGTCACTCTTTCCTCATTCATTCTTTCTACGTGACCAAACCACCGAAGCATTCCTTTCTTAATCCTGGTCACAACATCATCTTGCATACCACATTTATCTCTTATCACGCAATTTCTCACCCTGTCATTCAGATTACACCCTAGCATATTCCTTAAAGACCGCATTTCTACAGCATTTATTTTACTTTCGTGCTTCTTCTGCCACACCCAGCTTTCACTACCATACATTAAAGTAGGGACCAACACAGCATTATGAATTACCATACGTGCCTGTTTTGAAAAATTCTGGTTCTTCATAATAGAGTGTAGTGCCCCATTCACTCTATTCCCTGCATTTACTCGTCGTTCTATATCCCTATCATATCTACCATCCCTGCTAAATACACATCCCAAATACACAAACTCATCCACTTGCTCAATCAACTCTCCTTCTATTCTTATTTCACATACCGTTTTGCTTTCTTCTCTTTCAAAAACCATCACTTTCGTCTTACTTGCGTTCACTTTCATTCCCCTTTCTTTTAATTCACAGTTCATTAATGTAACCATCATTTGCAACTCTGCCGCCGATGACGCAAGTATGACTTGATCATCGGCATACAAAAGGCATTTGACGGTTAACTCGCCCATTCTTAACCCACATTCTTCATCTTTCAAAGTTTGCAAACACCGGTCCATAAATAGGTTGAACAGCCAAGGGGAAGCCACACAGCCCTGTCTGACATCTTTTTGGATGCCAAACCAGTCCGAGTAGACCCCATTGATCCTGACACAAGCACTAGAGTCCCTATAAAGAGACCTTAATGCCTGTATCAAACCAGCGCTCAACCCATATGAGTTCAGTGTTTGCCATAACACATTCCTGTCCACTCTGTCATAAGCCTTTTCCAAGTCCATGAACGCACAAAAAACTTTCTGGTTTTTGGCCAAAAACTTCTCCGCAATCATGCGCATGGAAAAGACTTGATCTGTACACCCCATGCCCTTTCTAAAACCCGCTTGCACATCCCAAATTTTTCCATCAGTTTCTTTCATAACTCTTTCAATTAACACCTTAGCATACAGTTTACCCACAATACTAAGCAAGCTGATACCGCATGATACCGCTGATGCAACAAAATAATAAAATATAATATGTCATTTTACGTCTTAACCAAATATTTATTTAAAAATATATCCAATACTAAGTGCATATTACACCTAGATTTGGAATAACAATACGTTTACGGTTACGGTACGGTTACAGTTTATTTATCTTTATTATTATTAAACTATGTAGTCGGGATCTTTCCTAACATTAATTCAATAATGCTCGCAAAGCATGCTTGAATGAATACCTCTTTAACCCTCATATATCAAAGTAGAAATTTACCCTATAGATGTTTAAGATATTAACATATTACCCAACAATTCAGGCTAAATATAAATACTATTACAATATAATATATGATAATATTTATTTTGTATCTCTGTCTGATCTTACTTTATCTTGAAGTATTTCAATGGTATGCTGGAGTTTTCACTTAATTTCATAAAACACAGGCATATCA